AATATATCATCGGTTATTTGCAGTAAAGCTGTAGTGCTGCTGCTTAAGTAACGGGTATCATCTGGTTCTCATCTGAATGAAGCTGTACCTACTCGTATATAACCCTTTCCGAGATTTTTGAAAAAGTGGGTAAAATATAAAAGTGTGACGAGTGCCTTTTGCAACTGATCCGGGAAAATGGAATATTTTAAGTAAGAGTTTACATGATATGATGTGAGGCAAAATATGGGAAATACATAAATTTATTGTACAAATATTCATATCATCGCAAATCTGCTTTAGTCTAAAATTTCCGTTACAGGGATAAAAGAAAAAATACATGAGGTGAACTGTTTTTTCATTATATTCTAGGGGGTAAGTCGGGAATAGATTTTCCAAAATGACTTCTCAACATCACATATATTTCAAGATAAATCACTACTTTCCCCCTTTAATAGTCCCATAGTATTCATGCCTGTCCGTATTCTTTTGATTGGTATTATGATAAAAAAGCTATTGTAATACACTTCCTTTTCTATTTTCTGAGTTTTATAGGTGTGCCGGTAACTGGCGAGACTGATAGAATTTTTTGGTGATTTTAAGGGGAAAGTTAACATCATCATATCAACATTACCAAAAACCGCTTTATTTTTATCTAAATGTTGAAGTTTAAAAGAAAACATAACCTTTCTATCAAAACATTGGATATCTTGCCGACGTGTACGTTACTGCTGAAAGTAGAAAATTAATTTTTAATTTTAATTTTCTACTTAATTAATTAATTAATATCAAACTTCAATAAAATATCAAAAGTGGTACCAATGAAAAGAAACTTGTTGGTGCGCCGTAGGATATGAATTCAAATTTTTTTGGAAAACGGGAATTTCAAAAATAATTCAATTTTTAGAAAAAACTGTGGGGTACCTTTTTTTTTGGAAAATATTCAGTTGAAACCCCATACAAACATCACTGGTGAAAATACATCGTTAACCTTAAAATCATATACAAATATCTACGTTTCTCTTTTTCTTTTTTCTTAAAATTTTAACACACTGTAGCTTAAAAATGAAGCCATTGTTAACAATTGTTCTTAAAATCTTATTACTACATATACCTATAAGATCTTCGCCGGATAGACATCAAACGGGACGTACCATCTTGTATCACCACGCCACTGTACCTAGTACACACTAAGCTAATTTTTTACTTCCCCACTTCACAGAGAGGTTTAAACCAAAAATTAGTACCTCTAACGTCCATTTTCTGGCGAAACGTCAACACTCCGATAACCATTAATTTACGGAAACCGGAAAAAAACCGTCCAGACCTTCGCAATTTTTCAAAAAGAACGCCGCCTTTTTTTTCTATACGTACCACACAACGAGCCACCGCGTACTATTAGCAACAAGCGACGTCCTTTACGTGATATCGACATCGTCAAAGCTCCGGGCTTTCTTCGGGTAAACACAACAAACACTTTAAAGCCTCTGGGGTGGTACTCGTAAATCAATTCGAAAATTGACAAATTCTGAAGACCTTTGAAAGCGGGTCACCTCCGTCGCGTTCGGGTTTATCCTACCCGCATGCGCCGATTATCGTTCGCACTTGTCGCTTTACGGGCCTGGGCAATTATTACGCAATTAAAACGCGGACGAGGAAATATCGAAGGCAAAATAAACACGTTCACTTCAGATTAATTGCCCGCAATGAATTATGTGGGTAATTACGGCGGCGCGATACCAACCGAAAAATTTCAAATTTACGACCAATTCCCATTGTTGAGTTTTCTATCGCGCACGGGCGAACTGGGTCGGAAAATTTGCCGTAAATCAAATTTTATTTGGCCGCCGCGTTTCATTAGGCGCGGATTGGACGCCATAACGTTCGAGATAATTGTTTTATGAGTTACGATGAACTCAATAGCCGCTTGCAGGTTGACCAGGCGATTGCCAGCAAGGCCGAACTCTTTAGTTCGTCTTAAACTAAGAAAATTCCGTCATTTTTGCCTAAGAATCGGTTATGGAAACGATCATGGTGAAGATAAAACAATGCATCTTCAGCTGTCCTACAACCAATAGCCCTCTCCCATTGCCGTTGCAATGAAGTAACACAAGAAGACTACTGCCGAACTTCTTCGTCTAAAACTATAGATATGTTGAAATCATTCGAATTCTGGAGGAGGCCATAGGGATGGTTTCACCTGATAAACGAGACATTAAGCAAAAAAAGAACCAAACCATCTTGATCTTAATCAACCACGAAATTTGACATCCCGACAGTCCTTGGCTCCTTCCAAGGGGCCTCTTACCTTGCGTTTGCTGCCAAACTTCCAACTATTTCCCTTCTAACTAAAGCAATATTGAAACCAGACGGAGATCTAATCTCCTGCTTGTTCTTTCAAGTGGATATTAAGCGATAGGCAACACAACCATCTTGCGTTGCACTTGACTAGAGGAGTTCCGAAGAATCGGTCCTAGAGACGGCGAAGTTCCTTCCCGCATGTATCTTACAATGCATTTGACATTAAGCAATAGATTAGCTCCTTATTGCCAAAGAACAATTTGTGGAAATTGTCACACGGAAGGTATCAAGCAATAAACAACAAAACCATCTTCATCTCAATCAAGCAGCTCCCGACAGGCCTCTCGCCTTTCCGTTGCAATCAAGCAACGGATTCCGTTGTTCTTGTCGATGAATAGGTCCCGGAGGCGGCCGTAGAGGAGATATTAAGCAATAAACGAACAAACCATCTTCAGCTGGCTGTAAAACCTAAAGTTTTAAGATGTTGGCACTTTCATCAGTTTTAGTTCGTTCTAAATTGAGGAAACATCGCCTTGGAGATGACCGGAGCAAAGATATCAAATTGATAAGCAACCGTACCATCTTCAGCTGACTTTTAGCCATAGAATTTGAAGATGTTGATGTTGAAATATCTGTCTGGAGATGGTTATAGGAAAGATATCAAATGATAAACAGAGAAATAATGTTCTTCTTGTTCTTTCGACTGGGTTGTGGTAAGATATTAAGCGATAAGCAACAAAACCATATTGCCATAGTTCAGAGTTTTTTTCTTTCTTCCGATACGAATAAGAACTTTCGTCTTTCTTCTTCACAACTTCAAAGTAGCTAACCATGCTCAAATGAAATATACGAGGTTAGCGCCAAAATTTCCCGGCCTGCTATAGATGCAGCTCCAGTATCACGATAAAACTTTGTCTTCTTTTAAATATATATCTTAGTAGGCTGCGCAAAAAAAAATGAAGCTTTGCGTCAAATAATTTTTTATTGACAGTATTTTAAACAAGACAAGTTTTTGACAAAAGAAGGGTTAGCACCTAAAATTATTAAAGAAAGGCTAGATGGTGTGTACGGCCAAAGTTCTCCTTCGTATTCTGTAGTGAAAGAATGGGTGTAGGTAGGTAGTGTAGGTACGAAATAATAATCTAACTTCACGTGCAAAATCATTAATGAACTTATGTCGAAGTTTTTACCAACTTTAATAAAACAACGCATGCACAATTCTCTACTAACCAAAATAATATTTGTAACCTTTGCTTGACTAGAACATGCAGGATTAAGACCTTACAAAATGTTTAACCATCAGCGTGAGCGTGGAACCTAGATTAAGATTAATATTTATTACCTCTGGTCCTATTAATATTTTCGTTGTCCATTTCGTTTCTAATTTGAATACCATTCAAGAAGAAATATTTCATATATAATTTGAGATTTCGTAGATTTGCTGTTGCTCATTTTTTAATATATAATTCAATACGGAAATCTTCTCGTACAAGGACAAGTCATTTGGATCTTTTAAGTAATTCGGACTGATTCGATTGCAGATATACACTTGGATTTGAACAAAATGAGCTACTGTCCATAAGTCTATTGTCGGAATACTATAAGACTTACATAACACCTGAATTCCCGATAGACGCGTCTTCATGAGCGCATCCTCCGAAATATATTCAAGAATGTTAAGACCCGCGGACCATCAACGCGACAAATTAACATACAACAATTGAATTTTAATTAGCCCATAAGGCTCCGTTTATTGGTTCATTACATCGGACGTAAACAAATTAACGGACCTTTAAATATTAGTCACGTCGCACAGCTAACACCGTTTTATTTTTAAGCTTTCGAGCGGAACCCAAAACAAAATATAATTTCGAATTGTCTAGCATCGAGTACCTGTCTTCGTTAAGCCTTTCTTTTCTCGGAAGACGAGAGCACCTATTGTTTGGAAAATTCGTGGAGAGGTTTATATTTTTGATTTAAGAGGTGTAAAATTGCCTTCGGTTTTACAACTCGGTTGAGTTTTACTGCGGGTACGGAAAAAATCGACAATGTTGTCACCACTTGAAAGCCATTGTCGAGTATGATTTATTGCTTTTGATGTGCTCAAACATGGCTATCGATATAGTCATCGTCGGACTATATAAGACTTGACGAAAAGAAGTTTTCAAAAATCCAGGTAATCATTAATTATGATGAGTTGATTTTGTTAGGATTTTCACACAAGTTGTTTTCTTGGAACCTGCATTTCCAGGCTATGATTTCTTTTCTTTTTAAACGCCCTGCGTTTCGCCACTCTCAAATTTGTCAATATTAAGACCGTAAGACTATTCGATCTATAACCTTCTCTAAGATACCACGGATTTAAGCCATTCACTACACAGAAACAGTATGGGACCCATGTTTGAGCCTTGTGGCACCCTTAGCAAAGAATTAAAGCTATCAGAAGTATAGCCACCATTACGGTGGTAGCTAACCAAATCAATTTTAAATTTATTTAATTATCATCATATTATTATCCCATAAAGTACATCATTTATTGTTATTATTATGATTATGTTTTCCACAGGACTTTAATGGATGTCAACTTTTTTCTGGTTTGAGTTAGTCTGCAGAGAGGTAGTTCGTTTTTTTCAAATGTTCATTACTTTGCGTACTATTCCCGTAGTTTCTACCGGAACGATTTTTTGCATGATGTTGATTGTACTTTCTCTTATTTTCAGGTCTATTAGGCTTCTCAGTGTGGCGTGCGGGACTCCACCATTGGCTCCGAGGATGATTGGAATTATGAATACGCCGTTTTGATCCCAAGAAATGTGGGTGATTTCGTTGGCTAATGGTAAGTATTTTTTAACTTTTTCTTGACGTTTTCGTTGTAGGTTTGTTTGTCTACGAATACTATATCGGGTCTATTGTTTTGTATGTGCACAATAGTGATGATTTCTCTGTTCCAGTACAGTTTGTATTGATCGTTATCTACAACCGACTCAGGTTTGATTTTGCTACATTATCGTGTCTTTTCGTGTACTCGTTGGGAGCCAGTGTTTTGCATCCACCAATTATGTGATCTATTGACTACGTTTCATCCCCACGCATACGGCATTTGTCGGATTCTATTCTTGATTTCATCATAAATGATTATTATTATTATTATTATTATTACTACTACTACTATTATTATAAATAAAAATTAATATTGAAACGTTATAACTTCCAGTTTTTGTTAAACAATGAATTTAAAAATTTATTTTATGTTCAATAAATTTAAAAACTACAAGTTTTGGTAAGTTACTATTATTATTGCATATATTAATTATTAATTTTTTAATCTAAACGCTTTATAAAATTAATACACCTCTATAATTTTATTTTACATTATCAGATTATTATCCTATAAAGTATGTACACCGATTTGCCTACAGGACAAATTTTATGGTTATTATTATTATTATTATTATTATTATTATTATTATTATTGTAAATGGAAATTCATATTGAAAAGTTATAAAATTCAGTTTTTTAACCATCAATTTAAAAACTTATTCCATTTTAAATAAATTTATAAAACAAAAACATTCATAAGTTACTAATCTACTTAACTTTACTAACAAAAAGAATTTTTGAATTAATGAAAAATAAATAATAACAATAAATAAATAGAAAGTACCACCTGTTATAACTGCTTGCAGTTATAGACTTAAGCTTGATATTAAGCTTTAGTCGGTTGATTGACGAATATTTTTTTGAGACATGCTGTCAATGTCAATTTGCACATTTATGTTAAACTGTTTTAATATAATTAATATAAAAGGTTAAAATTTAGTATTTCGTATTATAATATTTATTGTATTTTCTTTAATAGGTTAAAAGAACTATAAATTTGTTTTCTAAAGAATCAAAAATATTAATATTAAATATTAAAAATAATATCTACCCTTTAAAATTAAAATATTAAATGGTTCTTAAGGTTTCGTGTTTTTAGTTAAGTTATTTTAAATCGGCTATGTCTTTGAAGTTATTGTTGTTTATTAAATTATATTAAAGGTTTCTGTGTAACGTCTCCACTAACACATAAACAGAAAATGTCCTACATTTCCACCAACAAATCTATACGACCGAAAAGGACTCGACCAGGGCATTTTTTTACCCAGTCAAGTTGAATTCGTTTATGAGGAAACGAAGAACTGTAGAAAATATCTGAGCACCCCACTGCATTTGCCTTAAAAATGCGCTAATAATGTTTTAAAATGAAAAAGTTATGAGCAATTTTCTCGGTTGGTAGTGACGGGCCCTTGACATGTAAGACGATCTATGTAGTCCAGAAATAGGAAAAAAAAATTAGATTTTGACGCCAGCACATCCTCCCGAATTCAAAATAAATAAGAACTAAAAGTGCAGATTTTCACGAAATTATATAATTTGACATGACAATTGTTTCAAGAACACCCTGGCTTTATCAAATGTAATATTTACAAGCTATCTGGTACTATATATTCCGAAAAATATTTAATTTAATTAAGGTATTTAAATCGATAAGCAATAAATTTGAATGTCTCATTTTGTTAATCTCCATGGCTTCCAATAAATTTAATTTTATACTTTTTGTGGCTGCATGTAAAATATCAAAATTGTCGTCAAAAATATGTTTTTCTGTGTTTAATTGTGTAGCATAATTAGAATCTAGACTATTGTTTTTAAACGCTCTTTTATGTTCGTTAATGCGTTTCTCGGAGGATCTACCTGTTTGTCCAATATAAATTTTAGGACATGATCCTCATTTCAACCTGTAGACACCTGATTTTTGAGATTTTGGACATTTCGTTTTATTGTTTTTTAAAAATTTTCCTATTGTGTTGTTAGTTCTGAAAGAAAACCACATTTTGACAAATGTTTTGAAACTTTTTCACTAGGTTCTCCTATATATGCAATTGTTTTAAATTGTTCGTATTCTGTATTAGGTTTCGGATAAATAGAGTTTACTGTTGTCTGGATTTGTTTTTTGTTTATAATTTTGTCTATAATGGACGGATTGTAGCCGTTGTTCAATGCAATTTGTTTAATGATATTAAGTTCTTTGTTGTAATTTTCTGTTGAGAGTGGCGTATTAAGAAGTCTGGTATAAAAGAGTGAAATGCAGCCATTTTGTGTGCATAAGGGATGTCCGTGCGTGAAGGTTTATGATAACTGGAAAAATGTAATTTGTTTTGCGTTTTTGTAATAGTTAAGGCTAAAAAATTAATAGAGTTATCCTGTTCAATCCCGAGTGAATTCTATACGATTATGTAATGAGTTAATGAAATTTAAAAAAGAATTCAATTGTCTGTCCGTTCCAACAAAGCAAGCGAAGACATCATCCACGTATCAATACCACCATAAAAAACTTTTACTTAGAGGATGTTCTAGTATGATATTTTCCAAATTATCCATAAAAATTTCGGCTAACAAAGGACTAAGTGGGTTTCCCATAATCAAACCTACCTTAGAGAATATATAATTTCTTGAAAATCTGAACTTTTAGTTCTTATTTATTCTGACAAATGGATTTTCATCACGTAAAAGCCACCGCAGTTCAATCCACCCGAATTGTCTATGTATTGAAGTTTCTTATTTAGCAGTTGGAGCCCGACACGCGAGAGATATTGAACATAACGTAGTAAAATTCACCGATAGACCGGCACGGCGGTGTCCTGTTTTAAATACTTCAACAGGTTTTTCAGTAGGCAACCTCCTGCGTCGAATACTGAGGCCGGTAACTGAAGAAGCGCATACGCCTCGAGTGGTTTCATTCAGAACCGTCCGATTCGGTTCAATATACCGTCGCGTCGCGGTAAACGCTCTGCACGTTCCGTGACAAGTTGTAATAAAAATTATTTCGAATAAAACATCGATTGGAAGTTGATAAAAGTTATCGGCCGGGTTCTACGTAGTTTGACAGCCTCGCAGGTTGTTTTTTAAACCTTCTCTGGTGACCGACAGATATTAAGGCATCGTGCAATAAAAAACGTCTAGTTACAAAAATACCTAACCTACAAAGAAACATTTGTTTAAGCTGAGCGAAAATCCATATAGCTACTAGACATACAGAGGCCCTGCCTATGTTAATAGTACAGGAACTCGTGAAATATGAAATATCTAGCCGTAATGCTTGATTCGCAACTTAATTTCTCCAAGCATGTTGATTTCATGTGTGCAAAGATTGGCAAGGAGATACCCACATTTTGGTTATTGCAATAACATTGTATTGATTTTCATACCCCCATACTTACATACTTACAAGAATATTTAATTCCAAGGTGCATGAAACATGCTTATAATATCAGATCTAAAAACAACTTCGATATTCAGTTAACCAGAACAACACATATGCAAAAAAGTCTTTTCAATGATGGCTCTAGACTATTCAATGTGCTGTCTTCCGATATTAAAAACTCACCCAATGTGCAGATTTTTCTAAAAAAAAAATGAAAAACATTTATCTGAACTGAAGCAGAAGTAGGACCATGAAATGGGACTGACCAGCAGAGGACAACCAAAAGAAGCACGTCTCCAGAGACGAAGACAACACTTCCAAGCCTCAAAGTCTTCAGAGCGGGGGCGAATGATAACGATAGACTAAGGAACTGGGAAGGAACGTAAGTAAGATAAGCAATAGAGACACCTAAAAATTGCAGGTTTCAGGGGGAGAAGGAAACACTTCTAAGCCTCTGGAGTTTGTAAAATCTCAGGGCGGGGCTGAAGACTAATATTGGGACTCTCGACTGGTGGAGTAAATATGTTTTTACCTAGCATGTTGAATATTAGTTTAAAGAGTCGACTAAGGAATTGAAACTTACCTGCACGTGAGATATGCTTAAGGGAAAATTGCCTCTTAGGGCTTGGGTCATTAAAGCTATGGTTTTTTCTTTGAGGACTGGACTAAGGGAAACTGTGTTGGATAGTATTTTAAGAAGTAGACGAACCAATTGAGACTTCTCTATACATGAAAGATGTATGCCTCCAAGGGCCAAAGTTACTAAGGATAAGGCTGTTCTAATGAATTGAGACTGACGTAAGGGAAATAGTGGAAACACCCAAGACAGATACGTTTCTAGAGAAGAAATAAAGGCTGCCAAGGCTCCTAAAGTGGAAGAGTCCTTAAGTCTTCTCTATTACTTTACTGTACTTTACTATAGGTGAAAATGTGTTTAAGGGAAACTTATCTGGAAAGGTTGCTAAAGCTAAGGATTATTTTGAGGGCTGAACTAAAGAACTGGGACTGACGTAACTTTTCCAGAGACGACGGAAACTTTTCCAAGCGTCCTCAGTCCTCAGAGCAGCAGTGATACACGATCGCGGGACTCTCGAATCATCGTGCAGAGATCTGTTTACCAAGTGCCGCAAATCCGATGCGATGACAATCGCGTATAAAGGTAACATCCTCCGAGAATGTTACCCGGCGGATAGAAAATAAAGAAAATCGAACACGGTCGTGAAAGAAATGTCAACAAGTTATCGGGCATCTTGGATTCGATCCGCCGTCACCGCCTTCGGACACCGAATCGAGTTTGGCGGCTCGTTACACGCGTTTATGCAAAATGTTTAATTTTCTGTCCGATCAAATAGATGCCTCGCCGATGAAGATATAGATCGTAAGCGGCTCGTCGACCGTAAATGACAGTTCGGAATCGGTCGGGTTATTGAAGAAAAAAGTTCTAGAGTCTATTCCAAGAGTGAGAGAGAGAGAGAGAAAATATATCTAAGGAAGGCGAGTCGTGAACCATAGGCGTAGGGGGATTGAATATTGAATTCACTACTTCCTCTATTATCTTCATCAAAGGGTTTTGCAATCCATTTAAACATCAAAGAGGGGTCTATTCTTCAATCGTGCAAGAGTATTCCCACACATACTTATTGCTAGTTTTTACGGGGTTATCTGCACTAAATAACGAATGAAGTATAAAATAAAATTGATATTAACCGGCAACTTAAATCGGTTTCTAACGCATTCCTACTTCTT